AATCAATAATCATATCTGATTGAAGTTCTCTGCATCAAGGCCAGTTTGATCCAGTGTTGTTTTGTGTTTCATGCTTTAAATGAGTGATGTCTGACCCAAAGTAGAAAGATTGTTTTGTATTATTTACTGCACCTCTGACAGTGGATGTAGTTCATCTTCCCTCTGGACGTCTGTTTCATTGTTCCAGTGCTGTTCAGCCCTGTGTGATCTACGCATTTCTTCCACACAGTCGTTATCATAAACACAGGAGAGTCTGTCCACCTCAGCGTCTCTCTCAGGTATGTGTGGGCTTGATTGTGCATCGTCTGCTTGTGATCTAGCAGCAAGAGATAGCAGGAAATTAGCACAGAGCTGTACTGTGTTGTCGTCCTCGTGTATGTCAGAGATCTGACAGGAGAGATATAAATAAATTAGGCCATTTACCTTCTTCTAACTGTCTTACTCAAGTTTTCATGCTCGCTATTATATCAACACAACAAGCAAAATATTCATATGCTTTTTTCACCTTTGCCATGTGTTGTATCGTTCCTCTTGATGGATATCGCCTATAACATCTTGTGACCTAAAAAATAAGATGAAGTAACAGTCTGCTTTGAACTGAGCAAATTTCCCGTAAGTCCTTGTCAGATGCTGTACAAAAAAAAAAGTAGTTTCATACCTTGAAAACATACTGGCGTTGCACATAGAGGCTTGCAGTGGTCTGTGGGTAATTATAATGAAATGAAAAGGTTGAGCATCACAACACAACCATAATCTATGACAAGACGTTCAGTCTACCAACCTGTTTCTGAAATATTTCCTGTAAATGACAATGGCACATCCTACCAGCAAAACAATGGCCAGAACGATTAAGCATGACAACCAGGATGTCAAAGAGGCTGTGAAAGAGAAAATAAAGGTTTATTAGTAAAGATGATACGCACATAAATCCTTTGATCACCTGGAGTTTAACTTACATGTTTCTGACAAGCTGTCTACAGACAGCTGTTTGGTGTCGCTGCCCAGCAGGTTCCCGGCTGTGCATGATGCATTAGTGAGTCCCTCAGCTGGGCCCCATATATACCCAAAGGCTATATGTTTCATATTTGTGGAGTTAGAGGTAAATGACAGTGGGAGAGTATCATTTCCATCAATAGTCCAGTGTATAGATGCATTAGGAGACGCCTCAGCCCAGCAGACGCAGCTCAAAACGGTTTTCGTCCGGCTGCAGGAGGACTCAGGTAGGATTACTGGGGCATCTAGAAAGACAGAACACAAATATTGTAACTTATCATGTGATCAACTCTCTCACATCTCTTGGACTTACAATTTTCAAACACACAATGAGAATTAATACAAAATATGACACATGTGGTATAAGATGCCTCACAGAATCCCTGATCTGATATCGGTCATTTGTGCCGGTCGTTGGCACACACTCTCCGGTCCCACTTTTTGATAATGGGAACCACCACCCCGGTCTGCCACTCCACAGGTATTGTACCCAACGCCCTCGTGACAATGAAGAGACATGTCAGCCATGACAGTCCAACGATGTCCAGAGCCTTTAGCATCTCGGGACAAATTTTGTCCACACCTGGCGCCTTGCCACACAGGAGCTTTTTAACTACCTCGGCGACCTCTGCCACGGATATGGACGCAGAAACACCCGAGTCTTCAAGCGCTGCCTCCTCGGTAGAGGACGTGTTTACCGGGTTCAGGAGTTCCTTGAAGTGCTCTTTCCACNAAACAGAACACAAAATATGCACAAAAATATTTCATTTATGGAAAGCATGATGTAAAAATCACCAAACCAGCCATAAATCCTAAATTAGCTGGTCGATTTTAATTGACAGCTACTGTAGGTCAGAAATCGTTATAACCTTAAAATACTAAAATATATCGAGTCAAAGTCATTTCATTTTAAAGAAGTCCTATC